AAGAGTTTCGAAGCGTGGAACACTGGATACGTATGTAGATGTAGAGGAATCTCTATAACATACGAAGGACCATCCACATCGCCATCACATCTAGAACCTGCCAAGGTCCTCTGTAGGCTGGTAGCAACTTCTGAGAGATGTTCTCTTCAGGAACGAATTCTTTAGTTTTAACCCATACCAGATCACCTACATCAAACTGAGAAGGTCTTCTATGACAATATTTTCCTTTACCTTTTCAATGTCTTTCTGGTATTGAATCGCAAATTCACTAGTTCCTAGTGGAAGCTTATGCACTTGATCCGGGTTTAGTCGATCAATAGGCCTGCGTGGACGCCATCCCAGATGCAACTCCATCGGAGTCTTGCATGTAGATAGATGAACAGAGTTATTATAGGCGCTAGCAACTTTGGGCAAATGTTAGTCCCAGTCAATCTGGTCGGGACGAATATACATGCGCAGCGTTTGCTGCAAAATCTTGTTCATTTGCTTAGTCTGGGCCGTTAGTCTCAGGATGTCTACCTGAGGACATAGTCAACTTAGAGCCATAGACGTTCATTAGGTGCTGCCATTATTCACTTGTGAGTCTCTGTCACTCACGATTCTCAAGGGATGCCCATAGTCTTTTACCAAATGGTTAAAGAACTCTCGGATTACCAGTTCCGTTTTGGCTTCCGCTGGTAGTGCTACAAAAACAACATACTTGCTAAATCTGTCTACGATTACCATTACCTGCGTCTTCCCATTCCTGCTTTTTACTTTGGTGTCCATAAAGTCAATGGACACAGAGTCTCCTGGACCTGTTGGAATAGGCAAAGCCTTAAGTAGACCAAGGGGAGGCTGTGTGGTGCTCTTATTTCTTTGGCACACTTGACAGCCCTGCACATACGCAATGCAGTCTGGTTTCATGCGAGGCCAGGTGTCGGAACGCCAAAGGTTGGCGTAAGTCTTTTTCCATCCGAAATGGCCCTCGGTGTCATGACATTCCCCCAAGATCAAACTCTTGATCCCTTCTACATTTGGAATACAAAGCCTGTCATGCACATCAGTCCTTTCAAACAACAGTCCTTCCGTGATACGATAGTTAGGAAACTCTGTTGGCGCTTCCTGCATACGCTTAAGCATAGCGCCATGGACAGGGTCAGTGGAGTATGCATTCTTAATCTTTTCTTGTAGGTCGGTGCCCACATCTAAATAGGTTACAATGACACCAAAGAAATCTGATCTTCGACTCAATGTGTCGGCGACAACGTTATACGTTCCATTGACTGGCTTTAACTCAAAGTCATACTGGTCAATTTCGGCGGCCCACCTAGTCAGCTTAGGTGTCATCCGGACCTGCGTTTTAAGCCAGCGAAGTGTCTCATGATCTGAGTACACTTTGAAGTGCCTTCCTAGGAGATAGTGTCGCCAATGATCAAGGGCTTCCCTGAGAGCAAATAACTCCCTCTCGTACGTGGAAGCGGCGACCTTCTCGTTAGGTAGTCGTCGGGACATGAACTCCACAGGTTTGTATCCATTCTCGTCATCCTGCTGGAGTACAGCACCTATCCCGTACTGACTGGCGTCAGTTGTAACGACAAAGGGCAAGGAAGGGTCAGCAACCTTCAGAACCGGATAGTTAATCAGACATTTCTTCAAGCGTTTAAACGAGGATGTACAGTCTGAATCCCACTTCCAGATTGTTTCTTTCTTAAGCAATCTTCGAAGGGGTGCGACAATTATCGTGAAATGTCTTACAAACTTTCGATAAGAATTGGCTAGCCCAAGGAACGACCGCAATTCAGTCAAAGTGCGGGGGTTAGGCCAATCGCGAATTGCCAATCTTYGTGTCTTCCGGTTTGATTCCATCACCATCAAGTACATGCCCTAGATATAAAATCTGACGCTTAGCCCATTCACACTTCTTTGGGTTTAGTTTAAACTTTGCCTCACAAATTTATTTAGCACAAGTTGAAGGTGCTCGCAGTGTTCTTTCAAATCTTTACTGAAAATCAAAATATCATCAAAATATATTACAACAAATTTATCAAGCCATTCACGAAAATGTTCATTCATAGTTCTTTGGAAAGTTGCAGGGGCATTCGTAAGACCAAAGGGCAACACAATGAATTCATAGTGCCCATACCTCGATCGAAAGGCAGTCTTGTATTGGTCCTCTGGCTCTACCTCAATCTGATGGTAGCCAGATTTCAAATCATCTTTGTGAAATACTTACAACCCTGCACGCTATCCAACAAATCGTCTATCCGCGGTAGTGGCTCAACATTTTTGACCGTGATATCATTTAATATTTTGTAATCTATACACATGCGCACCCCACTATCTTTCTTCGGCACAAATAGCACAGGCGCACCATAGGGCGAGGAGCTAGGCCTTGTCCATCGTTTTTCCAGCATTTCATCAAGCTGAGTTCGCAGTTCGTCCAACTCCTTAGGTGGCATTCTATATATAGGCCCCTTAGGAATTTGACTTCCTGGAATGATATCAATGCGATGTTTGATCGGTCTCTCAACTACACCGCTTGGGGCTTCGCCCACATCTGCGAGTTCTTCTAGAATTTTCTCAACTTCTGGGGACTTGGCCTCTTCCTTAGCTTCACCCTCCTTTACTGGGCGCACAAATGCAATAAAAACTTGATAATACAAATTATACCGTTTCACATGGCGGGCGAACGCGGGGGCACTCATACAACAATGAGCTAAGCTGCTTTCCTTACCAGATTCATGGAATAGGCGGATTATTTTCTTTCCACCCTGCGGACTAGGGAGCCAACACTCATGATCCCTTAACTTTATATCCCCATCTGCAGCTTCACCCCAATCCATACCTAAAAGAATGTCAAAAGGAAGATTATCTTCCACCAAGAGAGTCAGAGAGTGGAGAACGCGTTCCACCTTCCCCTCTGCTTCGAGTCGGAAGTATATCTTAACCCCTTCAACATATCTATCCATTACAGTTATTGTACTACTAGCTAATTTACTCACCACAGGCTCAACCAATTGCTTTACCTTAAGCCCGAGACGCAGCTTTTGCAATCCTTTCTTACTGATATAGCTGCGAGTTGATCCACTATCAATCATCCCTCCAACTCTTACTTTATTCACTTCTAGATCTGCAATTATTAACTGTCCTTTTCGTTTCTTCATTTCAGTCCTGACTTGGCGACGAGCGGCCAACTCATCACCCATGCCAGCAAGGGATCCACCTAGAGAGGTACACACACTTACTACCTCTGGACAGTTAACTAGGTGGGGACCGTCTTCCTCTTCAGTCTCTGCCAGTGGAACCTTCGGATGGGAGGATGTCTTTCTTTCTACATCCGAAGTTCCCGTAGAGGCAACTGAGACCCCTACTGGTTGTTCCCTTTTAGTATCTTATAGTCTGGACAGTAGGGAACAATGTGGTTGGGGTCACCACATTTGACTAGGTGGGGATGGTTTGTCTGTGATCCCTAGTTTCTTCCAAGGCTCCCCTTCGGGCAAGCCTGGATGGGGTGGATATGGTTTGTCCCATGTACCATACCACGCGCCTCGTCCTCTTCCCCAGGTGGAATACGAACCTCGGCCACGTCCTCTTCCTTGGCGCCCTCCCCCGCGGGCTGCAACGGCCGCGTAGTCCCCCTCCTGAACTACCGAACCGTTGGGTCCTCCTTCCAGACCATAATCTATTTGGTCATAGGAAAGAGTCTCGACACCTCCTTCTTCAAAAGTAAGAAGGAGATTGTCTTTCCCAGGTATGTTTCCTGAGATAGTGCGGTTCTGCCACTTTTTACCCGCTTGCAGATCCTTCCAATAATGGCAGTAATTTGCTTCAGCCAAGAAACCAGCATGATCTATAGCGATCTTGTTGAACTTCTCGTAGGTCATCCCCTCTTCCTTTGTACGGGGATAAAGCTGAGTACGAAGGGGGTCAGGCAATGCTCTTGCGAAGTTATTGAGGATTTGAGTAGGAGTCAGTCCATGTTCAACGCATTGCAAGAATTCATCCATCGTTGCTTCAAGTGCAGAATCACTCTTCCATTTCCGATCCGCAATATTTAAAATAAGCATTTCAGTTCGGCGAGCCAGATTCTTATCTTCAAATCGTTCCCTTACTGCCTTAAACAAATCTTCAATTCGTGTTTGCTGTGAATATTCGATCATAGTTTGGCAGTTTGCTTCTTTTTGCAACGAAATGGCGAAGCTCATCGCATCGTCGGTCATGCACGAAGTGGTCATCAACACTCTATCCCAATACGGGATGCGCTGGCCGTACACATAGGACTCTACGGCTGCAATCCAATGTAGGACACTCTCCTCCTTCTTGCCAGTATAGGTCCACGCCACTTTAACTTTAATTTTCCTCACATCCCCACTGTCTTCTCGCAGCACTCCTTTTCCTTTCTTATCACCATCACCCCCATCTCCGTCTCCATCTCCTCCTCCGCCGCCGCTGGCACAAACTATCTTCTCAATCACGGTCGGAGTAAAGGTTTGTGTAATATGGTTATCTAATTTCTGAATGTATGACTGTTTGTGCTGATCAACGTCCTTTGCGGACTTCTGTAGAAAGGTGTTCCAGACTCCCTCAAACTCATATTGGTGAGTTTCAACCTTTTGCAAAGTTTTGTTTATTGCCGCTACTTCTTGCTTTGTGTGAAGGACTGTTTCTGTTAAGAGGGCAAGTTTTTCTTCCGTTGCAGCTTGCTTGTCTTTTTTATCTTTGCAGCTCTCTATGCAATCTTGCACCCTCTGCCTGCAGCCTTTTCCTTTCATCAAGCTCCTGTCGCTTTGCTGCTAACATTCTCATATGCAATTCTGCACGCTTTTCCTCTAACAAGAGTTATTTTTCCTTTTGATCTTTGATAGATGCCAGCTTTGCAACGAACAGATCCCTCTCTTCATCTGTTTCCTCAATCCTATCGCTGGAGTATGCATACTGGTCGTACCAGTCCAGCGGCTTGATCTCAAGTCCTCCACCTGTCTGGCTAGTCTCACCTCTTTCTGCCCGCCGCCTGATGAGCCTGCCATCGGCAGGKTCATCCTCTTCCTCTATTGTCTGCAGTTCTTCTTTCAATTCCCCTTCCAACTTGTCTCTCATTTCTTTTTTCATTCTCTCTTCTTCTATCTGCACTTTCTTCTTTATTTCTTCTTCTTTTTGTCTTTTTCTTTCTTCTTTTCTTTCTTCTTTTCAGCCTGGCGACGTTCCACTTCAGCCTGTTCTGCAGGCGTGGGCCCTGGCTTCACAGCACCAGATCTCATCATCATTCGGGAGGTGCAGATTCTCCCGAAACCCGGGGGAAAGAAGACTCTGAAGAGGGGCCCCAACAAAATAGAAAGGGCCAGTAATCCTTGCATGGGATAGTCATCCATGGTGGATGACAGCACAGGTGATCCTCCGCCGGTCCACCAAGAGACTACCCCCAAGCTACTACTGAACTTTGTCTGATGTGGATGGGATGCCTTTTTTTTTTTTTTTTCACACTCTGAGAATCGCTGTTTTAGAAATAACGAATTTTAAACAGAACAAGTGGACACGCCGCAGCAAAGCTGCGGCACAGAAGAGAGGCGCGAGGAGAGGCAGGCAGGGAGGGCAGCAAGCAAAGATGCAAATGAAGGCCGCAGGGAAAAAAAAAAAAAAAAAAAAACGGTAGCGAGGCTATTGCGAGGGAATTTCTAAAATAAAAATTGGAGGAAAGTTGGAGAGAAGACCACCAAATCCGGAAAAACAAACATGGTTTCACGGAAGGGGCAAAATTAAAAAAGGCCAGGGTTTCACGGAAGGGGAAAAAAAAAAAAAAAGGCCAGGCTAACAGGGTTCATGCCGGGATCCCGCACTGCAACTGAACGTCGACTTTACACTCCTCCACCTCCTCCTCCTTTTCCTCCTCTTTCCTGGACCTTCCGCTTCTGTTCCTCCTCTCGCCCCCCCCTCGTCCTCCACTTTCTCACCTCTACCGTCTCTCCTAAAAGCGAAGTTCAATCATTCGACGAAACATAAATGGAATTCAATGGATGAGACGTTGTAAAACCACCTGGGCGCTGGGGGGGAGGGGGGGGAGGCGGAGGAGGAGGAGGTTGAAAAGGACAATGAGAGGAGATGGGGGTGGAAATTTACGATCAAGATAACGATGATGATGATCAGGCATAAGAACAGATGATGAGAAGGAGACGGAGGTGAAGAGAGAAGCGGGAATGGCAAAAGGAGCGGGAGAGGGAGGAAGAGGACGATGAGGAGGAAGAGGTGAGGAAGCGGATGAAGGGGAGGAAGGGGAGGATGAGGAGGAGGAGGATGGAGGGAAGAGAAGATAGCAGCAAGCAGCAGAAGAGGAGCGGGACGAGAAGAAGACGCAAATCGAAATGTGTGTGTGTGTGTTTGTAGGATGAGCAAAATCGAAATGAACGCGCAAAATCGGTCTGCGTGTGTGTGTGTGTAGGATGAGCAAGATCGGAATGAACGCGCGCGCGCGCGCGCAAGAGAGAGAGAGAGAGAGAGAGAGAGAGAGAGAGAGAGAGAGAGAGAGAGAGAGAGAGAGAGAGAGAGAGAGAGAG